GTGAGTTTGTTACTGGTGGAGACACAACTCAGAAAAGGAGAGTGCAAAAATCAAAGAATACAATCAATGTCACTGAATTGTACATGTAAAAACTGTTAAATTGGTGTATGTTCTACTGTGTATATTCTCAACAACAACAAAATAAACAAAATTTTTTTTTTTTAAAAAACCTGGGCATCATGCCTTACACCAAGCAGGTGCTCAGCTCGATAAATCCATGTTTACTAAAGGACTCCTTCGCCATTCCCACAATAACAGTGAATACGAAAGAGCTTGGTCATTTTATACACTAACTCCCAAATTATACCTCTAACCCACTTTCTCCTGGACTCCAGAATCCTATACATACAACTGCCTATTTGACATCTCCACTTGATGTCAACTAGGCATAGCAAACTTAAATGTCCAAAATTGAGCTTTTAATGCTCTCTCCGCACTCCCCCACTCCACATACACACTGTGGTGCAATGAATTACTTAATACGACCCTTCTAGCCATGGTCTTTGTGACTCACACAAAATGATTGCATGGGACGATCCAAATAAGGTAATTGTGGCCCACCAAGGGGACTGGATAGCTTGCTAATACTGCAAATAAAGTTCATGGCACCGTGTGGGGGTGGGACCATGCAAATAAAGTCTATGGAACCCTAATGGACGGATTGGTCAGTTTTGCCATCCCACCAGGCTTAAAATGAGCCTTCCCAGAGGTGGAAAGGAGAGGATCTCACCACAAACAAGGAAAAAGTGCCAGGAGCAGAGCACATAGTGGGATCCCTGTGCTAAGACTCTTCTAGACCCAGGAGACAGACAGCTCTAACACCAGGCAAGACATCCAGAAGCAGCAGCAGAGAAATAGCAGCAGTAGAGGAAGCAGAACCAGGAGATTGGCAGGAGAGGGCGTGGTGGGCTTCCCAGCCCACTGAGCAAGAAAGCTGACTGCCTTCGGGCAGGAGGCTTGCTGGCACAGTAGGGGGCCTCTGGGCACTTTGTGGAGCTTACTGGAAGAGTGGGGTGCCTCCGGGCACTTACTGG